AAAAAAGTAGGTTTTGGTAGTTTAGAGTACTTCCTTTTCGCCCTAGAAGCCTTGTTGCCTACAATTGCGAAGGCTAAGACCGGGCTAGTATGTACCAGCCTGGAAAGACCATAGGATGACTCTAGGCCAAGCATGTGCTCCTACTATGCAATCATCCAATGCTCAAGGCCATCTGCTATTTTCTGCACATGCGCGCTGATGGGAGCTGCCGTCCATCTAAGCCATTACGCAAGTCATGCTCCAAGGGGGCATGATCTTTAGCTGGACTCATCGGACCCAGCCAGCTCGAAGAAATTGGAGAGTGCAAGAAAGATTCAGTCAGGCCTTACCGCTTTACGGAGCCCACCTGTCCCCAGAGGCTGGGGGGGCGCTTCTAAAAGAAAGCAGGTGCTCTTGGGAAAAATCGACACTCAGTGCTGGACGGAGAGGTTGCCGGCCGTCTCCATGGCAGTGCCATCCACCAGGTAGCCAACGTCCTGCGCGTAGGTGGAAGGAGGAAGCGGCGAGCCGGGTGTGTGCATGTCCGGGCCAATGTTCTCCGGGTGGTTGATTTGGTTGCCGGCCCTGTTGAGTGGGGTACCATCCGGCAGGTAGCCAATGTCATTGACGAAGATGGCCGCAGGCAGGGGAGATCCTGGAGTGTGGCTGTCAGGGCCAATGTTCTCCGGATGGTTGATGGCATTGCCTGCCCTGTTCAGGGGAGTGCCGTCGGGAAGGTAGCCAATGTCGTTGCTGAACTCCAAGTCGCAAAAAGAATCTCTCTGGAACCCATATAAGAAGTTTCCGGCATGCCTCACCTTCACACCATTGGCTGGTGAGGAACCGGCAAAGCTGGTGGCAACCGGCGTGGGGGAGGACATGGCAGCTGGTGCTGCCGCAGCTGCACCACCTCCCTGCACGGAGAGGTTGCCGGCTGTCGCCATATCAGTGCCATCCACAAGGTAGCCGATGTCTGCCGCGTATTTGGAAGGAGGAAGCGGCGAGCCGGGCGTGTGCATGTCCGGGCCAATGGTCTCCGGGTGGTTGATGGCGTTGCCGGCCCGGTTGAGCGGGGTGCCATCAGGGAGGTAGCCCACAGAGTTCACAAAGTTGGCGCGTGGCAGAGGCGAGCCAGGCGCATGGCTGTCAGGGCCGATGTTCTCAGGGTGGTTGATGGTGTTGCCTGCCCGGTTCAAGGGAGTGCCGTCGGGCAGGTAGCCGGTGTCGTTGCAGAACTCCAAGTCAGCAAGAACGTTCGGGTTCCGCCCGTAAGGAGTGACTGCACGGGCAACCTGGGGAGTTCGCTCCACCGAGCTGCAGCCGACGAAGGCCGCGGCCGATGCCTTCTTTGCCCAGTCGAAGCTGGCAGCCTGCACCGAGGACTCGCCGGTGTAGCCGAGCTTCTCCTTCCATCCTGGGTAGATCTGGTCGGCGTCCTTCTGGAAGGTGAGGAAGGCACCCTTGATCTCCTCATGGGTCTTGGCGAACTCGATGACGCCGTCGCTCAGGCTGATGTTGCTGTACTGTCCGGACCTCCAGGCCTTCCAGGCCTCCTCACCCTGGCGGCAGGAGATGGCACCGGGATTGGGTCCATCCTTGTGGCCGAAGGAGCCGCCACC